TGATACACAGAGAATGCAAATCTAATTTTGGATGGCACTAAGTTAAATGTATTCAAGAGAAGGAAGGATTTATCATGATTTGGGTTTATAATGTCATTACAAGAAAACACTTGTTTTCTGACAGAATATTTCTGATGGACAAAAGACCATCTGTTTTTTTACGGCTTTCTGACGGAAAATTTTAAAAAATAATTTTAATTAAAAATATATTTTTTTAAAATAGAAGTTTCCAAAACTAGCCTTTTAATTTAAAAAAAAAGGGGGATTTCCGACGGAAGAATATCCGTCAGAAACTCTTTCGTTGAAAACAAAAAGAACCGCCCCAGAAAATAGAAGGGACTTTAAAACTTGGGCAGAATATTTTAGTGAGTTTCTGACGGTGTTGACCATCGAAAAATTTTACCCTTAATACACAACCTGCTAGCTCTCACCACCGACCCAATCTCAGAGGGGTACAAGTAGAAAGCTCTATTTTCTGCAAAGTACAAGCTCTCTATCTCCTTCTCCCCTTTCTCTCTCTATAAACCCAAAACAGAGCAGTGCAAGAAGAAAGCCCTGTTTTCTTCAAGATGCAAGCTCTCTATCTTCTTATTCCATTTATCTCTCTACAAACCCAAAACAGAGCGTTGTAGAAGCAAGAAGAAACCCTAGCAAATTCTTTTTTTCTTCTCTATTATCTTCTACTTTCTCTCTCTATAGACCCAAAGCTAGCCATTGGAGACACCAACTCACATCCTTCGGCCCCCAAAGCTTCCTCCTCTCCTTTTCAATTTTATTTTAAAATACTTGAAAAAATTGGGGAACCCTTCAACTTTAAAAAAGAAAACTCTACAATTTGATTTTATTACAATTTATTATGTCAAAAATTGAGCTTACAACCAAAATCTAACAACAAATTTTCTGAAAGATTTTTATTTCCAATGGAAAAAGTCGGTTGACAATTTTTGATGGACTAGATCTTCCATTGGAAATATTTTTTGACAAATGAATTTTTGACGAACTTTTGTTTGTCAAAAATAGAAATTTCCAAAAAAAAATAGATTTTTTTGACATTTTTTCCGTCGAAAATAACTCATTTTCTTGTTGTGTGTTATGTTAGAATACTTCAAGTTAGAAAATCTACACAAATATATATTAAAGCATACTAGTTTTTCGAATTTATCAATTTGAAAGTAGATTTATACCTCCTATATATAAAAAATATTCCAGCTAATGACGCAAGTCTTCTTGCACCTTCCTATTGTGAATGTAAACATGCAATGCCTGTATTGTTTCTTCCATCTTTTGTTTCCAATTCAAAGGGGTGGTAATATTGGTTGAACCTAAGTTTATGCCACCAATAGGCCTGGCGGTATGTTTGAATGCAATGGAAGGTAGCAGGCCCATGCCTAAGCCTCAAATGCAGCTAGGGTACTTTATTCCGAGTACCACACCAACAGCATTATAAGAATAAAGTTTTAAGGAGTTTGATGTACTTTGACTTAAATATTCCTAAATTCTTTCCTATATGAAGTCCAAATTAAGGATACCAGAAGTTGATAGTCAGGGTTCAAGAGGGACTTTGGAGGTCGGGGGGTTGGGGATCTAGGGGGACTTGAAGGCATTAGGGTTCAGGGGCTGGGGGGCTTTCTATTATTTGTGATTAGCAGTTCGGAGGCTGTGAGTCGATGGTTGGGGGGCACACTGCTATCTAGGGCTTGTAGGAGCTAACAAATGTTTGGGGCCATTGAGGGTTTGGGGGTGGCTTTCAAAAGTCGAGAGTTGGGGTCAAGGTGACTTTTGGAGGCCAAGGATAGGGGGAGGGTTTCGAAAGTCAGGGCTCAAGGGTTCGAAGGTCAAGACTAGGGGTCCAGGAAGGACTTCAGGTTGAGGGCTAAGGGCTTCCTGTCGTCGAGGTTAGCAGTCAAGGGTTGTGAGTCAGGGAGGTACACCGCTAGGGCACTCGGACGGGGGAGGCTCTTTGAGGTTGTGAAGGGAAAGGGGGGTTATTAGGGGTGAGAATATTAAAAAGATATTAAAATATTTTGTAAAATAGTAATTATAAATTTATTTCAAAAAATAATTAAAAAGGCTATTTAATTGCCATTTTTCATCCTAATTGCCATAATTTAAATTATATAAAATGATGGTTAAATGAACCACTATCAAACCACTATATTTTTCTAAATTTATGTTAGTTAAAACTAACTACCGTATTTTAACTGTCGTAAATTATGCGTTTTTTTTGTAGTGTCGCCCAAAATCTAGCCACATTCATAATGAAATAAATTTTAGAAAGAAAGGCTTTAAAAATTGTATGGATTGTATAGAAATGAAGGTCATAATCATACAAATTGTTCTCGTTGATCTAACACTTATAGGGAAAGCTTACCTCAATAGAAATATCAAATTCTATATCATTACAAGTTTGTAATTTCTTTATTTTCAAATATCATTTGCTATACTCTAAATTAGATCTCGTGACCAAAAAAGTAACACGATTTTCTTAAGAGAAGACATAATCGTATATTTTATAGGTTAATAATCATATTAATCATAACAGATGGGAAATCACTTATGCCGCATTAATCATAAAGTAGTTCTTCTATGATGACATTTCACTCTTGGCTCTCCTCTGTGTGTGTGCATGAACTATGGAAATGCAAAAAGCGGTGAAGCAACGTGCCATGTAGGGAAGTCGAATCTCCACAACCTGACTTATTACTCTAATTTATAAAAAATAAAAATAAAAAAAGTATGTTAGAAAGTAAATAAAATAACATATTTTGATAAATAAAATAAAAAAATGATATTTCATGAGTCTAGAAAATAATAATATTGATATGCCAAGGATTAATTTTCACTTTACACCCTTAAAATAGGGGGTTTTGGCACTTTGTACCTAAAAAATAGAGATTTTTAGCACTTTACACTCTAAAATTTTAAATTTGAACCCAAAACCTCCTAAAATTATAAAAAGTGCGTCATATCCTTAATTAGTCATTAAATTAAGGGTAAATTTAGAATTTCATATAAATGAAGACTAAAAAGACTATAAAAGACTTAAACTCTTTATTATTTTGTTATTTCCATTCTATTTAATAAATTTTCACTCAATTTATACACACATTACAGTATGTAAAAGATTAAAAAATTTGGTACTATTCAAAAATTTAAAATTTTAAAACTAAAAATAAAGTTTTGATAAAAAATAAAAAAAATTTAGAAGTGACTATTTTAGTTCTTAATTTAAAAATTTATAATCTTAATTTGTTATAAATTAAAAACTAATAATTATTTCTGTATAAAATACTAGACAAATTAAGAATTATAATAATTATTTTAAAATTAATATTTTCGATTAGAATCTAAAACAAGTAAACTAATTTTTTCAAATTCAGACTGTAAATTTTCCATACATTCAAAAATTTAAAACTAAAAATAAAGTTTTGATAAAAAAATATAAAAAAATATTTGAAGTGACTATTTTAATTCTTAATTTAAAAACTAAAAGTATTAATTTGTTACAAATTAAGAACTAATAATTATTTTTGTATAAAATGTTAGACAAATTAAGAACTACAATAGTTACTTCAAATAATTATTTTTATATAAAATATCTAGACAAATTAAGAACTAAACTAGTCACTTCAAATACTTTTTTATATTTTTATCAAAACTTTATTTTTAGTTTTAAAATTTTAAAATTTTGAACATTACCAAAGTTTTTAATCTTTTACGTGCCATTGATATGTGTATAAATTGAGTAAAAGTTTATTAAATAGAGTGGAAATAACAAAAAATGAATGGCTCAAGTCTTTTATAATCTTTTTACTTTTCATTTACATGAAATTCTGAATTTACCTTTAATTTTAATAAGTAATCAAAAATAGGGTGTACTTTTTGTAATTTTGAAAGGTTTTGGAGCTAATTTTAAAATTTTGAAGTACAAAATGTCAAATTTAAAAATTTAATGTGCAAAGTGCTAAAAACACCTATTTTGAGTGCAAAGTGTCAAATTTAAATTTTTAGGGTGTAAAATGTCAAAATTCCCTATTTTAAAGTGCAAAATACCAATTAGTCATATAACAAGCAAAATAATGTCATTATTTTAATGATTGAGAGTACTGCTAAATAGGCTAAAGAATAATAGAGAAATGTACTATTAAATATTTCAGAAATTAAATATTTATGGATTTCCTAATACACAAACATATATTATATAATATATGCCTCCCAAAAGTTGAGCTGATAACTTTTCTCTATATTCATATTATTAAAAGGATATATGCTCTATTATGAAATCGTTATCTATATTTAGGAAAAGAAAAATTAATTTAATTTGATAATAGTTGCCTTAGGTGTAGGTTTATAAAAAAAAATGTAGTAGATTAATATTTTTTAAATTACAAAATTTATTACTCGGATTTAATTTACAAATAAAAGAAAGTCAATAAAAGCTAATTTAGAAAAGAAAAGCAAAGGTTTCGGAGGAGAGCAGCATGGAACCCGCATATCCGAATTTCAAGGCGGGAGAGGCGCTTTATTTTCTACTTTTATCTTTTGCCTTTTTATTTAGTTATTCTTTATATATGCTTTTTGTGAATGGCCCTCAATCATGGTGTTGGGGCGAAGGACGCAAAGAAATAAGAGCTGTTTGGTTTTGACAAATCTCTTATATTAAATATTTTTATTTAAAAAAATGCAGTAAAATTTCAATTACACCAGTATCAAGGATGATTAATTAATTCATTATTGTTATCTTTATTATTATTATTATTACATACAGGGGGGAAGGGGGGGGGGGGGCGGGGAGAGAGCAGGGAAGGCAGGCCCTCACCCATTTGCTGGTTCAACCACCACAATGATTTTTGTTTTGCGAGGCGTCATGTGGTTTGATCATTCACTCTTGCTTTCTCCCAAAGTTTTCTCCCCTTTACCCCATCTTTCTCTGCAATTACAAATAACACCATTCCAAGGGTGGCGTGTAACTTAGAATAGCCATAAGACAGTAGGAAGAGATGATCAGAAAAGTGCTTCTGTTCCTGGTTTTGTGCGTGCTCTCGGAGCTTGTTAAGGGGCGTATGCTGGGTAACCCTTTCCTAGTCCGTGGCCGTGTCTACTGTGACACTTGTCGCGCTGGCTTTGAGACTGAAGCCAGCCATGGCATCCCAGGTAACCAATCTCTCTAGTACTGTATCTATTGTTGTTCTTACTTTTTCCCATGAAGTGTGACGATGCGGAGTAAGTTTTTGATAATATGATGCATACATAGGTGCTAGGGTCAGAATTGAGTGCAAGGAAAGGGCCACTATGCAACTAACATACAGCATAGAGGGGGTGACCGACTCCACTGGAACCTACAACATCAAGGTCAGAGGTGACCGTGGGGATGAAGTATGTGATGCCAGACTTATTAGTAGCTCCCAATTTGAGTGTAGTGAAACAGACCCAGGACGGGACCGTGCTCGTGTTATCCTCACCCGCAACAACGGCGTCGCCTCTGACACTCGCTTTGCAAATGCCCTTGGATTCTTCAGGATTGAACCCATGTCTGGCTGCACTATGGTGCTTCAGAAATATCAGGAAACTAATGACTAGAAATAAACAATGATAGTGCTTCTGGGTTTCTCAGAACTTTGGGCTTAAGTGGTAGGTAGTGATGCTTTGGGAATTTCGATTATATGTTGCTATTGGTGGATGTTGTTATAAATGATGGAATGTATGTTTTCACTATTATTCACTTGATTGTGGGTTTCAAGTTTTTCTTTTTTGCTTTTGCGGCCAAAGAACAGGAGCTTGTTGTGCAGAAATATCCAAGCCTTGAATCCTGCGAAGTTGGCCAAGCAAGGTTGGAGAATCTTGATGGATCCTTGGTAGCCAAGGTGCTTGTGTCAAAGTATTTCCCAGATGGTCACTTCTGGAGGATAAATGATAGAGAACGGTGACTGTCTATGAAAACAAATGGCTTCCCCGTGCATCCAACTTCGAGATTTGCTCTCCAAGAATGGACGACTAACAATCTAATGGAAGATAGTAAGCTAATTGATCTGGTTTCAATAAGTTGGAAAGAGATTGTTCTCACTCATTTCCACCCAGTTGATGCAGAAATAATTTTTGAAATTGTAGAGACGACGTTGTCTGCTCACCCGGAAAACTAGTTTTTTATTTTTTTATTTTATTTTTTTTTTTTTTGCCCCCTTTTATTATTTGGTTTAGCATGACCAAAAAAAAAAAAAAACTAACATTTTTCTTGTTCAATCCGTCATGAAGAAAGTTGGATAATCAAGAAAAAAAAAACAAAATTAATTTTTGATAATTAGATCTATTATTTTTGAGAAATCAGATCACAACTACAATTTGAACGGATGAAAAGTGAGAAATGTGAAAATACACATAGCATTCGGAAAAGAATTGCAAAATGGATTACTTTGGAACAAAAAGATAATCATTGGAACCCAAAATTCTACACTTTTAATAACATTTATGAGAAATGATAATCAACCCTTCTTAATTTTGGAGTGAAATTAATAACTAACTTGGGCTCCAAGAAGTTGACTTCAGTCATGATAATCTGAGTCTTAATAGTTTAAATTGTTATACCATTAATTCTAAAATTAAAATTTAAATAAATTGTTAAGGATGTTCCATCCTGGAGGATCTTCTAACGGATTTGGATTTAATAGGAGATTTTATTTAAAAATAGATTTTGTTTGATTTAATTTAGATTACCTTTAGATTTGTTTATAATTTATTTAAACTAGATTTATTTTATTTTTAACAAAAAAATCTCATCATTTCAAGAAAATAATCTTGAAAAAATACTCATACTTCACAGAAAATTATCTTAAAATAATTCTTATCTTTCTAGAGGTTTATCTCATTAAAACATCTCATCATATTTGTAGCGCACCAAAATTTTGAGGTTAAATTTAAGAAATTAGAAATGTGGGGTCCTTGTAAAAGAATATAAAGTTTTGAGGCTTAATTAAAAGAATAAGGGTACAATTGAACAAATTAAAGCATTCAAGAGCTTGAATAGAAACACTCAAAAAATGTCAGGGACCAGATCGCACCTAATCGAGAATTGAAGGATCAAATTGAAGACAAGCAAAAATTTGATTTGAACCTATTTGTAACTTGTAAATCCCATGCAATAATGGCGACCAAATTGATGGAGTATCCCTATCTTGATCGATCAATTGAACCTATAAATATGTTCTCAACTAGTGTAGGGCAGAAGCCCTCAAACAATTTTTGCGAATCTATCCTTTACCTTGACAATTTTGTCGTTGTTGGTTTGCCTCTCGTCCACCATTGCCAAAGCTCTTTGAGCTTAATTTCTGTAAATTAAGTTCTAAAAAAGCTAACTAAACCACTTTGCCATCGTCACCTATCCATTTCAACCACAATCATTAGCTTAAACTATGAAGTTTTGAGGAATCTATCAGGTATAGATCTTGTTCTTTGTTTTCGTCGTTCTAGGTATTTTACATGGGAAACGGGTCTAGAAGATATACCCAATTGAAATAAAAGTCTAGCCTTCTAAGCTAGACAAGATCAGTCATGGAGTTGGGTTTTGGCTAGGTTAGGTTACGGGTTTGGGTTGTCCCAGATTTTATATCTAGAACAGTAAGACTAGCTAAGTGGATTAACTGGTTTAATGCCAATATGGGGTTAATTTGGCCGGTTCAATGTACAAATTAACCAATTCAGTACATGTTTGACCAGTTCATGACTTATTAAATAGTGGTTCAATGTTTAAACCCATCGATTTAGTGTTTTTTGGACCTGTTCAATGTGTTTATATGCATGGGTTCATTAATAAAGATTGGTCAAGGCCTAATAGGGCCAATTCAGGGTTTAGTAGCCTGGTTCAGTACCTTATTAATTGGTTTAGGGCCTAGTTAGCTTGATTCAATGTGTTAGATATTTAGTTCAGTAGTTTAATGACTAGTTCATGACTGGTTCAGTGGATTAATGGCCGGTTTGTGGTTAGTTTACTAGTTTAATGGTCAGTCCAAGGCCAGTTCAATGTTATTAAGGAACACTTTGTGGATTAATAAGCCAGTTTTATGCTTTATGAGATTGGTTTAAGACTCTTGTACTCAATTCAAAACTTATTATGGCTAGTTGAGACTTTACAAGGGTTTTTGGGGCATAAAACCCTAGATCTGTGTTTTTAGATTTAAACTGTGAATATATGCAAGGCTTAAACAGGAGTTTTATTGTTTTGTGATCTTAGATTTCTTAGATGTTTCCTATGGAGCTATATCACTGAGAAACTGAACTATTTTAGCTCTCATCGATTCTGTGAGTAATAATGTATATTTATTTATATTTATAATTTTTTGCATATATTAAAAGTTTTTATTTTTATTGGACACCTGATTTTTGATTAAAAGTAAATTAAATAATATAATAAGATAGAACAAGAAATATGTAAGAGAATTGTCTGAAATTTGTTTTGAAACACTATCGAATCTTGTTTCCTGCTAATGTTTATATTTGCATTCCGAAGAAAATTTTGTTTTTTGTTGATATTGTTTTTGTATGTGATTAAGAACTATTTTAAGGGAGTTTTGGATTGACAGAAGACTGTAGTTAACAATAGTAGGCATTAGACTTGGGTACCCTGAATTGTACTGTACTGTATATTGGTTGATTATGAGGTCACCACCTATTTACTATTCTGTCTTGGATCACAAATTCCTTAAAAGTTTTGGTGCATGAATTCTGATTTGAATATAAGATTTTTTGCATAACTATTATAACTATCCCTTATTCTCATAAATGCATATAATTTTCACTAGATTTGTCTGCTCACCTTTTAATATTTTTCATATTCGAAGTCTGCTATCCCATCAAATCTTGCCATCTAAGGAGATCACTAAATCTACTACTTGTAGATAGAATGGCTTTCTTTTATTTATGTTAGAACTATGAGGTTTTTTGTAGTTGGGCTCCATTGACTACAAATAGATTCTCCTCTATAATTGACGAGACTATTGAATTTGGAAATATATTTTGTTTAGATTGTATTTACATGAGATTATATTATATGATAGTTACATGATTTCTGTAGACTTGCTGGATTGAAATCTATTTTAATTCTAGTATCAGTCACAAATACCAATTCTCGGATCATGACAAAGTGGTATCAAAGCACTAGGTTAGTTGTGGTTAATGGAGCAATCATTTCTCTATAAAGTCCCGATTATGATTTGTGGCATTCCAACTCTAGATTCCTTTAGGTTGCATTGCCCATTAAGCAAACATGTATTTATTATAACACAATTTGTCTTGCCTATAACATGTGTAACTTATAATTTAAATTCTAAGGAAAATTTTCCTAAATTTAATTTTTTTACTTGTCCACGACCCTAAGAAAGAAAATGCACTTTTAGATGTTAAATTAGACATTAGGGGGACATAGGAAAGAAAATTAGAAATTTAGTTAGAAAAGAAAATAAGAGAATTAGTAGATAAATTAAAAATGAAAGTGAAAGTTTATGAGAATTAGTGAAATAAAGGCAAGGCCAATAAAAATATAAATTTATTTTTATTTTTATTTGAGGTATTGGAGGGGACTAAAAAGGGATTTTCTAAATTTTCTAGGGGCTAAAAATCAAATTCCAAAAATTAAGGGACCTAAAATTAATTAATAAAAAGTTGGGGGGCCAAAATGTAAATAAGGGGTGTTTAGGTCGGCCAAGCTGCCAACTTATATGGAGGAGATATATAAATCCCTCCCAACCCCGCCCCCCCCCCCCTCCCAAAAAAAAAAAAAAAAAAAAAAAGGGGTCTCTCAAGCGTGAACCAGGAAAAGAAAAAGGAAAGGAGAAAAGGAGAAAAGAAGAAAGAGAGAATGGGAGAAAAGGAAAAAGGAACCCAGGCAATCATGGCAAGGCCAATTAATACAGTTGTGCTTTGCATATTTTCTATGAATTTTCTTAAAAGAGATATTAAATATTTAAAAGAGATATTAAATATTAGGTTGCTTTCATATTTACCTATGTTGTACTGCCATTTTCAAGCAAATTGGTTGCTGGAATTTGGGTTGGCCGAATTATAGGAAAGGTTTTGAGAATTTAAGATTTAATTTCATGTTAAAAATATGTGATTCTCTTAGAGATATGTATAACTGTATGTGTTTGGAATGAATTTTATGACTGTCTGGAAGCTGAAGAACCAGGAGAGGAAAACTTAAAAGGGGAGAAGAGAGGGTTATAACTTAGAAAAATTTTAAAGGCAATAATTTGAAGCTTGGACCTCTAATGAAATCATGTGATTCTATGGTTTAAATGATGAATTGGTGAGAGCTAGGGGCTAGAAATAGGGTAAGAGCAGGGGAAATGAATTTGGAAGAGAGGAAAGATGGATTTGGTTCAAGGACAATGAAGAAAACTGTATTAAAATGGAGAATTAAGAAAAAGAGATAGGCTGCAGAATTTCCTGCAGAGGAAGCATGTTGGCTGAACACCTTGGGGTCCTAAAATGGGTCCAAATTAAGGTTTAACAAGTAAGTTAGAAAGTGTACCAAACTAACTTAAGAATACGGTTAGGAAAAGGTATCAAACTAGAGCCAAATTGCAACTATA